GGAGGGGAGGAGATGGAAATTTTTAATAAATAAAAAAATGTTAAAATAAAAACACTATGACCAGACATAGAGAAGCAATTTTTGGAGTTTGCCCTTATTTTAGATCATTTTTTTCCAGAATTCTTTTACTGTGATCCCGTTCCTCCATTTTGGAGCGGTAATGTATATTCTGTACCACTATATGTTGCAAGTCTATGATCTGCTTTTTTGGTTCTGATTTTACAGGAGGTTACAGTAAAAGTTCATCTTAAGTCTCAGAAGAGAGTTTGAATTTTGGACTTTTAAAGTGTTAGACTATGAGGACTTTTGAAGTTGGCCTAAATCCATGTTTTTATGTTATAGTATAGGTATAAGGTTTTGAAGGCCGGGGAGTAGAATGTGACTGTATCAAAAAGACTTGTCCCCGATAGGTTTACAGCCTTGAATGCTTGGTCATCTGGGAGTAATACTACATAAGAGGGAGTAGGAAGTGTGGTCTTGCTGGATTAAATGTGATCTTGTTGGAGGAAGTTTGTCACTGTGAGAGGTCAAAGACCCAGGCCAGTCCTGCTGGCTTTCATTCTTCTTGTTTCCTGCAGATCTAGATGCAGAACTCTCAGGTACTTTTCCAAAACCATGTCTGCATTAATGTCACCATGCTTCCCTGCCGTGATAAACTAAACCTCTGAAACTTATAGCCAGCTGTCCATGGTCAGGGTGTCTCTTCATAACCACTGACTAAGGCATCAGATTATCCATTTTTAATGAACAACCTATGCTAAATGGAGAAAATAATGAAAAGGAAGTTGAGCTTTTAAAAATACAAAAAAAATGAATGTTGCTACCATTGCACACCCATAACCCATATAGCAGGATCAAGTCCATATTTTGGAGTTGAGGGTGCTGGCCTCCTTTCGTTACTGTCTAATCAAATCACTCATGTTCAACTCAGCTATACAGTTAACCTGTGCCTAGGAATGCAAAAATGACAAAGAGCATGGTTTATCCAAAGCATTTTAGTTAAATCTGAAAATGTTTTGACATCATGTGGCTTAAGATGAACTGCTGGCTTCTTCTTTTTAACAACAGTTGATGGCTCATTACTAATTAGTGCATAGGCAAAGAAAGTTAATAATGAAAGACTTTAATGTTAGACCTGCTAATAGAGTCCTAAAGTTATCTTAAGAGAGTACTTTCTTTGGATTGTTTTCTGTGTTTCTATGTCAGGACCACGAGGGGTGCACCCACCCACTGACACAGTGGGGCTGATCTATTGGGAGCTCACCAAGGCCAGCTGGACTGTGACTGAAAAAGCATGGGATAAAACCAGACTCTCTGATCATGGCGAACAATGAGGGCTGATGAGAAGCCAAGGTCAATGGCACGGGGTTTTGATCCTACTTCATGTTCCGGCTTGGTGGGAGCCTAGCCAGTTTGGACGTTCACTTTCCTAGACATGGACGGAGGGGGGAGGATCTTGGACTTTCCACAGGGCAGGGAACCCTGACTGTTCTTTGGACTGGAGAGGGAGGGGGAGAGGAGTGGGGGAGGGGGAGGAGGGTGGAAGGAGGAGGAGGGAAATGGGAGGCTGGGAAGAGGCGGAAACTTCTTTTTTTCCTTTTCTCAATAAAAAAATATATATACATTATATATTTTGTATATATATATATATATATATGAGTACTTTCTTATTAGAGCTGACTAAAGAAGGAGAGGCTACCGGCACATGGATTCATCCATCAAGGATAGCTTTTATGAAAAAATTATTCCTTTCAAGGTCAAATTTAACAAACAGAAAATACTTTTCAAGTCTTATTTTCTTTCTTATTTGCATATTTAAAATTGTATACAGCGTATCTGGTGACATACTAATTCAAAGGATTTTTTATTTTTCAAAAGGCTATGACCTTAACTGAGCAATTTTCAACTGGAGATAACTGTAGCATCACAAATTCCTCATTCTGGCAAATATGAGTGAGTGAGCACCAACGTAAATATAAGGTTAAACAGATTACTATTCCATTCTAACTAAAGATCCTTCTATCGCATTATTTTTAAACCATCACCGACATGTTTAAATGATAATTGCATCCTCTCAATGAGCACAGATCCTTATTATTGGAATTGGCAGGGGGCCTTGACATTTGAGTCATCATCTCATTATGTCTATTTCTCATCCTGGTATACAAATTAAATAGAATTCCAAGCCCAGCGAAATATAGAAGAAGTCTAAGCAGTAACTTTAAACTGCAGGGTTTTTTTTCCTTAAATCTGTATAATATATAAAGAAATTAACATTTGTAAAAATATATTCTCAATTAAGCATTTTTTATAAGTCTAGCGTTTACTTTAAAGTCAAAAATGCTTCAAAATCTCTAGCCAAATATTAAAGGTTTATAAAACAAAACTGACAGTTTTGATATTCTCAAAATGTAAAAGCTAAAATAATTACAGGTTTAAAAAGCAACTAGAGCTATGTGGTAGTCATGCACTCCCTCAATCCTAGCACTTAGGAGACAAAGGCAAACAGATCTCTGGCCAGCATAGTCTACATTATGAGCTCCAGTATAGCCACAGCTACACAGAGAAACTCTATTTCAAAATAACAAAACACAAACAAACAAATAAAAAGCAACTACAAATGTAGTCAAAATATACACATTTGACAAGTTTCTCCCAATCTGAAAAGGCTTCAGAATGCACAGTGTTTATCAATCATAGAGCATGCATGTTAAAATATTAATAAAATATTTTATGTGGTCAAATAGGACCAATAATATTTAGTTAGTTTTAAACTAAAATATCAAAATGTGTCAAGTAGGAACCCAAGTCTGTCCTCAAGCACTTCCAAACCATTGGACTTATATGACAAAAATGTTACTTGTGAATTTTCTAGATCACTTTATTTAGCCATTTGAAATAAAAGTACATATTTCTATCATTCTCCAATGTCTTGTTTAAAATTCTTCCACTAAACTCCAAAATCATAAAACTAATCATTCATAAAGCTCTTTAATAGCTCATTAACAATGATTCTCAGAAGCCACTTCTTCTTTTACTTATCATTGCAGACACTTCAGAATATGGGTGGTGTTAAGTTTCAAACCCAGGACAAAAGGCTGAGGTCCATATTTAACATAGCAAAGCTTGATGTGGCATGACTTCTCCCAGTTACAGGGTATGGCTCACATACACTGCCCTCTACCCTGAACTCTCCAACCCTAGGAGAGGTATAGGATGCCCTTCCCCCAGATTCTCTTTCCTATGTAATCCAGACACAAACTGCCCTCTTTTGGACCTTTGACCTCCTGACTACTACACTTGGTTCCCCTCCTTCCCCTATCTTTTCCCCTCATTCTCCCTGAACATGGTCCAGCTCAATCTGCTCAAGTTCACTCTGGACTTTCCTCAAAATCCTTGCCTCTGACTATGTATCTAACTACATATCTATAATGAACTGTCTCCTCTGCCACATCTAGGAGTAATCATGCCCTTTTTCTTTTATTTTTTTCATTCAGATCGATTATTCATTTATTCAGTTTTGTGTTTGTTTCTGCCCTCTTCCTCCTTGTTCATTCCGAAAACCAGCAGCTTCCCCAAATCATTTGGAATCCAGAAGAACAGCCTAAAATAGCTTTGTTTATCCTGGTAGAAAGAGATTGAAAAGTACCTTATTGGAAACCAAATGACTATACAGTCAAACATCTACCCTGAAAATTAACATGATTTTTTTTTTTTGCTATGGCATGATCTTTCTAGATGCTGTGAATATGTATTATTCCCATTGGCTAATAAAAGCTGTTTGGTCTATGGCAAGGTAGGATAAGATTAAGCAGAACAATCAAACTGAGGACTTGGGTGAAGAGAGGAGGAGTCAGGGGAGACATGAACTACTCACCCAAGAAGCAAGATGCCAGAAGACTGGAGAGCCCTGACCACATTGCAATACATAGATTAACAAAAATTTAAATTAATTTTAAATGTAAATTAGCAATAAGCTTGAGTTATCAGTCAAACATTTATAATTAATATTAGCCTCTGTGTGATAATTTGGGAAGTTACTACTGGGAATTTAGAAACAGGCAGGCAGGAGACAAAGCTCTGCATACAATTTCTTTCCTATGGATTGCTCAAAGTATGTCACCAAAAAGGCAAAAGGAGTCACAAGAGATTTTTCTTACATTTCATATTGACTTTACTGTTGTCTTTTTCAAAACAAGTATCTAAGAGACAGATGTTTGCTTGAACTCAGCTATATTTAGATTTTAGATATCTTTTATTAATTACTTATAGTTTTATGACCAAGATTTACAATGATCTCAAGAAACAGAAGTCTAGACTGAAAATACTATGCATGTGTTTTCTCAAGAAATTAAGTTGTTTAGAGGATAACTCTTAATTTGATTATTAAAATTTAATTAGTTCACAGCAAACATTGGAAGAATAGATTTTTTTCTTTTGACATATACATGACATAAATAGAATGTTCTGAGACTGAAATTTAAAGGAGATCATAATAACAATGCATCAGGCTTTTCTCTTTGTTTTCTTAATGGTAAGTTGGACAATCCCCACATGTTGAAATTTCTCTCACAGTTTGACTTGTCCACAGAGACATTCATGAATTTATAATGTTAGACTTTTATTGAGTCTTATTGTTTTGTAATTGCTGTGGCTATTATTAATAAGTGTCTTCTTGGGACCATAGGGACCATGGGAGAGGATTGAAGGAGAGAGGAGAAGGGAAGCAGAGAAAAATGTACAGCTCAATAAAATCAATAAAAAGGTAAATGTCTTCCTTTTATGTGCCAAAATAAATTAACAAATGAGGCAGACACTATGTAAAAGGCCTGGGAATACAGCCAAGTTTTTCTACGTACATTCAGGGACCAGTAATCTTATAAATAGTGCTTCAAGCTTCCTTGCCTAAATAGTTGCAACTATGACCAGCATGTAATTTGCTGAAATAATTATCCATTACATTAGATCCCTTCATGTATTTGGAGTCTATGACTACGTACCTTGTCTTTATTCTCAGTACCAGAAGCTTCAGGCTTGGTCCTTATTACAAATGGGGTAGAGAGTCGCAGCAAGACCCTTTCAAAGGTGGCATTAACCTTTGGAGAGACGATCTCAAAACAATCCTGAAACTTCAGCACTTTGTGAGTGTCACATCGAAGCTGCTTTCGCAGGCCTTCCCCAAGCTGAAGAACTGCCATGCTGGGGTCAAACATCAAGTGGAATGGAAAAGCTCTGCAGAAGGTGCTGATGCTGATTCTGAGGTCTGCAGGAACTTGAGAAGTACCCTGTGGAATGTTCTTTGTGATGTGAATAGTTTCACATTCTTTGATAAGGAAAGAAAGACAACTACAATTGCTTGGGTTTGAGCCTTCAGAGTAAAACTTTTCATTTTCAATTTGTTCCACTTCTACATTCAAGTGATAGATTCTCTTTCCTGCAGCCTTAATCATTCCCAGCATTGCAAACCCCACAGTATGATGAGGATGGAAGTAGTGTAGCATAAGAGCACCTTCAGGGAGCTCTTTGCATAGGAATGATGATGACTCCAGAGTGGCCTTTTTCCCAAAAGAAGTCCTAATGTGCTCCAACAATGCATCAAAACCATTGAAGAAGTCCTGCAATGTGCCACCTACAGCTCGAAGGACTCTCTCATTTTCATCAAAGCATATCTTAAAGAATTCCTCACCAAATCTTTCTTGAATTTCCTGGAACTTCAGACCTAATGGTAAAAAAAGAATAGAAAAATTAGGAACATGGGCTATAAGGTTTTGGATCCATAGCTTTCAAGATGCTTATCTAAAGTGGTTAAGAGCATGTAATGCCCCAAAGAGGACCTGTATTCAGTCCCCAGTTCCTACTTTCTTTTTTCATTCATCTCTTCCTTCCCCTTGACCCCGAGAGTGGGAGTTTTTAAAATCCTAATGATATAGAAATTCATCTTCTCTTTAATATCTCATTATTTAAAATAACACAATTTTTTTCTTTTTCTTTATGATTTCACTAATCCTTACCAGATGAAAACACACACACTCACATACACACACACACACACACACACACACAAAACATGGACAGTCACACAAAAACTATGCGTTCATTAAGTGGAAAGTGGTTACCAAATAGATAAATGACAATCTGTGGTGCATGTGAGCGTAAGAGCATCGAGCTCTCCAGTGGAAATAAAGTGTTTACATTAGCTTAACAGAATAAATCATGCATTTTTATAGACTCCATGGAAAAAGAAGCAAAACAATTATAAAATTGTAGGACTTCAAATGACTAGCATTCTTTCATTCACAAAAATGAAAGAAGCCAAGAGTAAAGTAGAAATCTGAGCAGAGTGAATCAAGATGTCTATTTCTTTAACATACTCATTCTCAGGTGTCCTAGAAAAAGAAACTCTACCTTACAGCAATGCATTATGGGGTAATCAGGCACACAGAGTTGCCCTTTATTGAAGATGGTGTGAGGGAAAATCAGGAATAAAGGTATTATCCAAAAAGGAATGGAGGCAGACTGTGGAATCTCCTTCAACTTTGACGGAAATTAATACCTATAGCTTACATATCATTTCTTATACAGTCTATCTGTCTTATAAGGAGTTCTGAAAATCAAACAGGAGTGGAACATTCTCTTTTTTGTTGCTGTTTTAAGGAAAGAAAGGCTTATTTTGGCTCATAGCTTGAAGGTTCTTTCCATCATAACTGGAACAGCAGCAAAAACTGAGTGTTGAATGCTGATTTCAGACCTTTTTCTCCTTTTATTCTGTCTGTAGAATTCAGTTCATAGAATAGTGCCACCCACAGTCAAGGTGGATCATCTCATCTGACTTAACCTACTCCCATCCTGGCAGGTGTGTCCAGAGGCTTGTCTCTTAAGCAATTTTAGACTTTTTTCAAGTTGATAATCAATATTAATTACCACAGTTCTTCAGTTTAGATTTTTTCTTCTGGGTGGTTTTGATGACACCTGTACACTCACCCACTCTGAGAGTAATTCTGTGTATATCATCATATACCAATGAATAAATCATTTAAAACTCTGTGATATACTGAAAATACTTTTCTACAATGTTTGTCAGACTGTAATGCTAATTCTTTTCTTGTCCTTTCATGTTAGAAAGATCCGGAGATCAGCCCCACTGTCTCAGTGGGTGGGTGCACCCCTAGTGGTCCTGACATCCTTGCTTGTGTTCTCCCTCCATCTGCTTCTCATTGGGACCTTGGGAGCTCAGTCCAGTGCTCCAGTGTGGGTCTCTGTCTCTATCTTTATCCATCACCAGATGAAGGTTCTATGGTGATATGAAAGATATTCGTCAGTATTGCTATAGGATAGGGTCAGTTCAGGTTCCCTATCCTCAGCTTCCCAAGGGACTAACTGGGGACATCGCCTTGGGCTCCTGGGAGCCACTCTAGGTTCAAGTCTCTTGCCAACACTAAGGTGGCTCCCTTAACTAAGATATGTGCTTCCCTGCTCCCCTATCCAACCTTCCTTTATCCCAATCTTCCGTTTCCCCAAGTTCCCCCAATCCTCCCCTTCTTACTTTTCTCTCCCTGTCCCCCCTTATCCCCAACCCACCCCACCCCCAAGATCCCAATTTTGTCCCCGGCAATTTTTTTTTTTGCTCACCAAAGCCAGCTGGACTGTGACTGAAACAACATGGGATAAAACCGGACTGTCTGATCATGGCGAACAATGAGGACTGATGAGAAGCCAAGGTCAATGGCAAGGGGTTTTGATCCTACTTCATGTTCTGGCTTGGTGGGAGCCTAGCCAGTTTGGATGTTCACCTTCCTAGACATGGACGGAGGGGGGAGGACCTTGGACTTTCCACAGGGCAGGGAACCATGACTGCTCTTTGGATAGGGGAGGGAGGGTGAGAGGCGTGAGGGGAGGGGGAGAAGAGAGGGGGAGGGGGAGAAGATTGGGGGGTGGGGGAGGGAAATGGGAGGCTGGGAGGAGGCGGAAACTTTTTTTTCTTATTCTCAATAAAATAAAAAAAATGAAAAAAAAAAAGAAAGATCCGGAGATATTACCCTCCCAAAATCCTCCTTCCTTTTTTAATGGCCTATTACACAACAATCTATGCAGTGTGTGGTTTAATTGGCTGGCCTCGCCTCTACCATCCTCAGGATGTTCCCTCTCTCCAGAAGAGATGAAACAGAATAGTCAACAACAATATTATTTTGACTATTCATTTTAAATACATTAAATAGTTTAAGACTTTTCTATAGTCTTGGCATTGTGATAACCAAATTAAGAAGTCAGTTTGACAAAGGCATCCTTAAAAGGACTGTGAAATGAAAATAAGTGAAAAATTTAATGATAAAAATCCTTTTGTTAAAGCATTTCACATTAACTTTAGTTTTGTAGGCTTGATGTTCAAGGTTAACTAACAATGTGACCTCTTGAGATAACAGTCTCATCACTCAGTTTACATGGGCCTGTTACAGGATTACTCTTCCACATACACTGTATAACAATAGAGCCAGAAAGAAGTGATAGCAATAGTATTGATCTGCCCAGGTCTCTAGAGTGAAAAAGCAAAAATAAGACAGGTGATATTCATTGCAACTTAGTTCCTGCTCTAAGAGATCTGTAAGAAATGCTTTTATCATTACACAAACTGGTATATTCTTTTATCTTTATTATGCTTAATAGTCTTATTTGTCTTTCCTTGAATTTGATATTGTCCTCTCTTACCTTTTACAATTTATTGAAACACACTTGCCTGATATAATTATTATATGTTTGAAAATCCATTTTCACATTCTTTCCCAAACTTCTTCCAAAATCAGATTTAATGAGACAACTGAGAGGGGCCCACTTCTCCCAAAAACTGTAGGCAAAAGTTAAATTGTAGTGCCGTTTCAATTGTATTTTAATAAGTAAAGATTTCTTGGGAATCAGGAAAGTAAAACAGCCACACTGCTAAATCTTACAGCCATGCAGTAGTAAGACACACCTTTAATCCCAGTAGTCTCTCTAGTTGCCATAGAAACTGGGTAGGGCATTCCTTTAACCCCAGACCTAGAGAGAACTATAAAATGGAAGGAGACAGCTCTCAGACACAGTCTCCTTCTGAGATTCCTGGAGGCAGGATCGCCATTTCTGACTGAGGTCGAGGTAAAGTTAGTGGCAGCTATTTTGCTTTTTGTATCTTCAGGTTGAACCCCAATTTCTCTCTCTGAGTTTTTATTAATTGTGCTTCATTAGATGCTAACAAAGTATGCTTTAAAAGTTTTTAAATTACTTTTGCTGTTAATTATTTAACTTCTTATCATACACAGTCCTATTGTTCATTTTTTTTAAATAAGCAAATGTGTGGAAGGATAGAGAACTCTGATGTCCCTTATGTCAGCTGGTGAACATCCCCTTGCTGCTCTAGATACCATATGCAAAAGAACTATCAGTCAAGTAGCCAGTTGGGTTACCTTCATGCCAACACAGCACATGGAACATGTTACAGGTGCCTGGAGAAAACTACACAATAACCATGACTTATTTCTTTGACTTCTAAAGATATAGCCAAGGGCTTCCCCAAGTCTGAATAAACGGCATTCGCTTGATCTCCTATCGAATGACCCTGGTCTCTGTGTCTTGTGTTCAATCTCCAGGCCCTTGCCCGGACTCGCATTCGGTACAGCTGCGCGCGAACTGTACCGAGGGTGTAACACCAAAACCGGGTGTTACACTTAAGGGCATGCTCAACCTCCTTAGCCATCAGGGAAATGCAAATCAAAACAACTTTAAGATACCATCTTACTCCTGTCAGAATGGCAAAAATCAAAAACACCAATGATAGACTTTGCTGAAAAGGATGTGGGGTAAGGGGTACATTCATCCAATCCTGGTGGGAATGCAAACTTGTGCAAACACTTTGGAAAGCAGTGTGGCAGTTTCTCAGGAAATTCGGGATATACCTACCCCAGGACCCAGCAATACCACTCTTTGGAACATACCCAAGAGATGCCCTATCATACTGCAAAAGTATTTGTTCAACTATGTTCATAGCAGCATTGTTTGTAATAGCCAGAACCTGGAAACAACCTAGATGCCCTTCCATGGAAGAATGGATGAAGAAAATGTGGAATGTATACATATTAGAGTACTACTCAGCAGTAAAAAACAATGGCATTTTGAATTTTACATGCAAATGGATGGAAATAGAAAACACTATCTTGAGAGATGTAACCCAGACCAAAAAGATGAACATGGGATGTACTCACTCATAATTGGTTTTTAGCCATAAATATAGGACATTGAGCCTATAATTCACGATCCTAGAGATGCTAAATAAGAAGGTGAACCCAAAGAAAAACATCCAGTTATCATCCTGGATATCGGAAGTAGACAAGATTGCTGGGCAAAAATTGGGAACTTGGGGGTGGGGTGGGATGTGGGAAAGGGGAAACGGAGAGAGAAAAGTGAGAAGGGAAGGATGGGGAGAGCTGGGGGGAATGGAATTGTTGGGATAATGGAAGGATGGATATGGGGCCATGGAAATATGTATCTTAATTAAGAGAGCCACTTTAGGGTTGGCAAGAACCTTGACTCTAGAGGGGTTCCCAGCAGTCCAGAGAGATGTAGCCAATAGGTCCTTGGGCAGCTGAGGAGAGGGAGCCTGAAATGGCCCGATCCTATAGCCATACTGATGAATATCTTGTATATCACCATAGAACCTTCATCTGGCGATGGATGGAGATAGAGACAGAGACC